TTCTTCTTTGATGAAGGCATTTTCATGGTTCCTTTGTACACTTTTCCAAAGGCGCCCTGACCAAGCTCTTCAGATATAGTGACGTCATCGCTCTTTACCTCCCAGGCATCATCCGGGTCTTTTTGCTTTTGTAATTCGTTGTTGTTGTTGTTTTTACTGCAACATCAATTTTCAATGTTCAAAAAAATGTTCAAATGTTTTTTTTCGTGGTCAATAGGGTTAGCTACACCTAGCTAGCTCGAAGGCATGCCACTTAAACTGAAAGAAATAAATTCATCGACTAAACATAATAGGCTTAAAAATCCCAACTGGTGGAAGGCATACCAGTTGGCTATTTACAAGGATGACGGAGGTGTTGAACTTGGGTTTACCGAGAAAAAACTCCAGCTAAGCGGTCAGAGCGGGACTTGAACGCGATATTTCAAGTTCGGCGGCCAAACTACTCGGGCACGCCGAGAAGAGCTAAAATCCCAAAGAAAAGCAAGTGCTGGAAATAATGTAATGCCTCGGAATAGTAATGCATGTATTTACTGTAATTAGAGCGAAAAAGCGANTTACTGAACAGACGCACGGCAACATGGAATCTATTTGTTAAATAGATAATGGGTAGCGTAGCCAATCAGAGAACGCCATTCGTGATAGAACGCTAGTAGATTTATACTAATATAAAGTATGTTTGCTAAAAACCATGAATGCATACCTCGGTCGATCTATTAGCCGAAGAAATTGCATGTTGTGCGACTTCGTCTGCGTTGTTTTTCGTCATAGGGCGAACGCGCCCGCGATCCATGGCGCTAGCCATATTGACCATGAAAAAAGAGTTGCATGGTTTTCTATTTCTATGCCTGCATGTGGTTCTGTTCCTATAGTTATGGAGCTCCGCCTAGCCACCCCTCGGGCCGTCGGAGCTCCGCTACCAATTCTAAAACAATTATTTTCACCACTAAGAGTACAAATTCTTAAACAATTATTTTCACCACTAAGAGTACAAATTCTTAAACAATTATTTTCACCACTAAGAGTACAAATTCTTAAACAATTATTTTCACCACTAAGAGTACAAATTATTAAACAATTATTTTCGCCACTAAGAGTACAAATTCTTAAACAATTATTTTCACCACTAAGAGTACAAATTCTTAAACAATTATTTTCACCACTAAGAGTACAAATTCTTAAACAATTATTTTCACCACTAAGAGTACAAATTCTTAAACAATTATTTTCACCACTAAGAGTGCCAATTCTTAAACAATTATTTTCACCACTAAGCGTGCCAATTCTTAAACAATTATTTTCACCACTAAGCGTGCCAATTCTTAAACAACACATGATCTACGGTCATAATGTTTTCGTCTCAACACCATAAAAGGTACCGCAAAAGCTCTCGCTGTGGACCTTTTGAGGCTGAACACCCTAAGAGGTACTAAAACCGTGTTTTAACCCCTGAAAGGTACGGCGAACACCCCGATCCTTTTTACATGGGAGACCCCCTCCGGGATTTCCTTCTTAATAACTCTTTGCCCCTGAAGAATAGTACTGTTTTCTGACTTAACTTACCTTCTGGAATAGCACTGAAAAATAAAAGAAATCCTTTTCTTTCTTGAAGTTCATCTGTGTGGAATGTCAGCACAGCATAGTCGCCAGTAACAAGAGCTGTCTGTCCGGTTTTCTTTCCACAGTGTTTACCAAGGTTGAGGTTGTTCTCGTTATTAATTGAAGTAATCATCAAATAGTCATAGCTGCCGGCAAAGATGCGTGTCTACTTTAATTGCGTAAGTAAATAAATCCTTTATTGACCGAGCTTGTTCGGATGGATATTAGCCTCGTTCTTTTTTTTGCTTGTTTATGGACTTCGACTCTGTCTTGATCTATAAACAAGCAAAAAAAAA